CATGTTACATGGATGTATTCTATTCATGTAAGCTTTTAGAAATGTTATCTAGAAAAGAGGCAGCCAGAAAGGCTGGAACTGGGATCTTTGCCGTGTGGGTTTGGGAGCCAGTGCTATGAGAGTCCCCTGTCACTCTTGAACATTTTTATTCCAGCCTCCACTAGACTTGGAACTTGATAAATGCTCTAACTGAAAGCCAGGCAGGACTGGGCTTTTTGGTCCACAGACTACCTTCTGGCTCTAGCTTCACCTTCAGTATTGCCAAAGGCTGTGGTGGAGGCAGCCCCTTTGCAGACCCTGGGATGCAGCAGGTTTCTTTACAGGAACAAAAAGCCTGCATGGAAGAGACCCAGCTGCTGAAGGGAGTCTACATCAAGAGTGGTTCTGTGCGCTTCCTTTCAACAACACTAGCTGCTGGCTGCTTTTTTACTTAAGCTCTTTGTTATGGAGTCAAGAACTTTACACAAAATTTGTAAAATCTTCTAAAGTGTAAACAATAACCCCTATATATAAGTAAAGCATGCGGCCCAGATTTGGTCATGGCCATGAATCAACTCTATTTGAATCTTGGGAGTTGATGTTTCTTTCTTATATATGTTCAGAATTTCCCAAAAATGTGTGAAAGGCTCTGGTTGCCATCTGGGAACATGGTTACTCCAAAAGTTTGTCTGTGTTTTCTGTGTATCTTTGCTGACATCAGAAAAGTATCTTATTTTTCAGAAAAAAACCCTCCATGTATGTTTATCCTAGGCTGACAGCAGTAATGTAGATGTAGAGATGTGCACACATTGGGCTTCAGCCTAGAAAGACCTAAACTATAAACCCCTTCTTGGGCAGTTAACACAGTTTAGGAAAATGTTCTCTGTTCATTATCATTAATATATGTACCTTTATTCTCATGTATTACAGTTTTTGCTGCAACAGACTTCTTAGGTTCATAAAAGGCGATAAAGGTGCACATCAACTTTTTTCACTTCAGGGGTATTTTTAATATTATTTGAATACTCTCCTTGTATTTGTTGAGCGCTCTGAACCTTCTAATCCCCTCCACCCCCCTAACCCCTTCTGAAATTAAAATCTAAAATAAATACAAACAAATGAAACTTTAAAAATTCTGTGTAAGGAAATATTTTCAGGACTTCTTCTTAAAAAAGAGTTTATTTGCTGTGGCATCAGTATTTGGCAGTGAAGAACTGTATAATTAGCTTAATGGACATTTTATAGCCAGTTCATTTCCAGGGGGATTTTCTAAGGCTATAGTCAAGGACTGTGGTATTCCAAAGGGATGTATGTGTCATTTTTCCAACCTAACAATGCCTAGTGGGATGTGTGAAAATATTTCTTTTTGAGAAAGAATACAATATACACATAGATCAGCTGAAAACCTCTGCTTCCTCCCCATGCTGAGCTCACAATATCATAATTAAAATGTACAGTTTAAATATTTATTAATAGCAAGAGTTTTGATCTTAATGATTTATTTTCTTGAATTTGGAAAGTAGATGGCATTCAAATTTTTAAAAGTCTTACTCAAAATACCACTCTTAATATTTACTTTAGGAACAAGGTGGTTTTATGTCCTGTTTGACTTTTTTGGAACATGCAAAGTGTTACTTCCAGGATGCCAAATTATGAGACTGTGGATTCTAGACAAGTTTCAAGCACTTAGGGGTATTTCTTGGATAAGTAAAACAGTGCTGGCTTATAGATGTAATCAACTTCTCTGGTTGGCAATAAGAGCTTTTGGGAGCCATGTGAGAGTCAAAATTTCATTATAAGGTAATTGTGCAGAGCTGTGTAAATATGTGGATTTTTGAAACAGTAATTATGTATGGGTGCACTTGGGCCCAAATTAAATCTTTGAGAAATAAGTAAAATACGGAAAAAAATGGGGTTAAATTTGGTTTTGCTGTTTTGATTGTTTTTTTCTTAGAAAAAGGTTTTTTCCTCCAAAGGCAAGTTATTAAACATAAGGGGAATGAGGAATGTACAGATACAGTGAAACAGAGTATAAACAAAAAAAAATGCCTGAATACCTTGATTGCTATTTGTCTCTTGTTTGACTTTTTAAATTTTTTCTTCTGAAAGAGCATTATTGTTCTACTTCAGAAACTGCTGTCTGCATGTGGTCTTCAGCTTCCTCTGATTCAATGGCAATGGCTGTTGTAAGGCTTTGTCAGATAATTAGAAAATCAAAACAGTCCTCTAAACTCATCCTTAGTCCATAAGTTTTCAAAATAAATGTCAATTAAAGTTTTGGTTCTGTGGCGTCAGCAACATGTGAAAGAGTTATGAGGGAATCATGCAGCTACAGTTCTTCAAAGCCAAAGGCAATTCCAATTGAATTTGCTCTCAGCAGGAAGGCCTTGCAGAGGTTGAGGGACTTGTTTTACTTTACACCCTTGTTCAGCAGTAACATAGACTGTTCTACAGTTCTCATGCAGATGGTTGAGTTTTCATGTTCTACTGACTTGCGGGGGTGTTGGGAGGTGGGAAGAAGAGGGTTTGCATCAGACTAGTGGGGAACATTGCATTAGAAAAGACTGTTATGTGCCTTCCATTTGTTGTGGATATTCATGCAACAAACAATGAGCAGAAACTTCTTAGACAACATATGCTCCCTAAGTTCTGTAAGAAGATTCCCAGTATTCAATAACAAAGCTCTCTACCCACTTCCTGCAGTTAAATTTATTATTTGGGGGGGGTTGGATCCTGCCTATTTCCTGTGTCAGGTAGCTGCAAACACTGATTTGTTCCTCTTTCAAAGCTGGGAAACTTTTAAGAAGACTTCATGAAGAGTACCAGCCAGTGGTGGCTAGATGGTCTTTTTTTCCAAAGTGTGGAATATGACACTATTGGTGTTTTTCTGCAGCAAAAACAGCATCACCAAGTTGGGCATTAGGTAGAAGGGTTTACTAGGAAACAACCAGGCAGATGAGGATCTACTGAAGTTAGGATCCAGTGAACTAGCTAATTAAATTAAGGAAGAGAGAATATTGAAGTAAAAATGGATAAACTGATGACATGCCTGGAAGTTAAAGTGGTTTTGTCAACTCCTGACATTTTATGAAGATTCCTATCCACAGTATTTGATTTGAAGCTGCAGCCTCTGGATGCCATCTGGAGACAAGCTATTCCATGGCTTCTTCAATCTTTGTCTTATATATTAGTTTCTCACCTTTTGTGGGAACAGAAGAAAAAGTGTGTAAGCATGACATAAGTGAAGTATTTAAAAGTTTGAAGACGGACTTTTAAAAAAGATCTTGGGATTTTTGGACCAGTCGTTTTAATGCTTGGTAAACTTGGCTTGGTTTTTCAACATTTGACATTGGTGACAAACATCAGACATTGCTGAAGAGGTTGAGACTGGTTTTGTCTAGAATGCATAGCTCTGTAGTTCTCATAGTAGATATAGCTGCATTTGCAGTGTGGTTCTAATTTTCAGACATGTGTTGAGCACTTCCTAGCACATGGATATATCTGAGATAAAAGCCGAGCCTTTGGCTTGTGACTAAAGTAGGATTCAGTCTTTGTAGCTGTGGAACTTCCTGAGTTGATGGCATGTAAAGATGGCAGGAAAATGCAGTGGCTAATGGTTAGGATGTTTTATTAAAGGTAATTTTATCGGGCACATTGTGAGCAATATGGTAATTGGTGGCTTACAAAGATATTGTGAAGAAAATAACACCTTTCACTATGCAGGGCCACTTTGAAGAAATAGCTTTGATGATTCCAGTGGGATAAAAATGGGATGGTTAATATTTACTACAGTGGTTTACCTCCTTTGAAGAAGAATAAATTATCAATTACCAATTTTCAACATAGAGGAATGTTTACATGTGTATACTCTAAGGGTATGCTATTTCTTGATATAACAGATAGTCATGACTGCATAAAGAAGGTAAAATGTGATTCTGAAAGTGGCACAATCATTTGGCTTTGTTAAGAGAAAAGATGACTGAGAAATCTAACAACAAAATGAAAGGATGGCACAACAGGAGGCAAAATTCAATAGTGACAGATGCATACTTATTTTCATTGGCACGAGTTGTTTGAATTGTTAGCAAGTATTGCTGCCTTCTGTTTGTTGGTAATATCAAGGTAGAGCTGTAGTCAATGAAAATGCATCTAAGACAGTGAGAGCTGTATTATACAATTAACCTGTCAAGCATAATAACACAGGATATCATTTCACCCTGGAGTCTAGAAGGAATCAAGAAAGGTTCAGTGATGTGTACCTAATTAATTATACATTTCATGGAATATTAGTATCTGCTTCTATCCTTTAGAGTGACTAGAGTGAATTGCTAACTAAAAGGGAAATAGAAGGTGTTTCCACAGATGGGTATTTTCTATCCCAATGTTTCTTGGAGATGCTTGCAGTTTTCTGAGACAGTGGAATGGTCAAGTCATTGGACTGGTTGAATATAATAGTTTTAGGTCAGACAACGAAACCTACTTCTTTTCATATTAGCTAATATGAAATTAATAGCATATTTAGATTGTTTGGAATAATGCTGTCAAATAATTTTGGGTAGATTAATGATGAGAAGTAAGATAGACTTGAAATGTTACCAAATGAATTGCAAAAAATGCAAAAATAGATTAATTTACAAATCTTGTGAGAAAACTAGTAGAGAACAGCTTCTATATAAATGCATTTGCATTTACTTTCCAAATTAAAATTGAAAAATTGGGAAGACAGTATTGTAACTTGTGTATGTGCAAATGCCTTAGAGTTTTCAGTTACTAATAGGACGCTGTACCTTAGTCATTGAATCGCTGTGGTGCAATTTAGAAGGTTAAGAATGACATTGCCCAATCCATGAATAAGTTGGTAGATCGTTGGTATATGTGATTTCTGCTTTCACAGTTGTATTTAGTACATATTCTTAATGACATGTTCTTTCCCAGCTATAAAGTGATTGCATTTTCCTATCCTAACTAAAATTTATCTTGATGTAACTAACCATACATTTTTTTTGTTTTCTTTTCCAGTTTAAAAGAATGCTCAACCGTGAGCTGACCCACCTCTCTGAAATGAGCCGGTCAGGCAATCAGGTCTCAGAATATATATCAAACACTTTCTTAGGTAAGACTATGAAGGGTTAATTTCTTTTGCCTTTTGGGGGTTTTTATATCTCTCTGGGTTATGTTAGAGGCTAAAAGCAAGTGGCTTTCCATATTAATTTCTACTATCAGAAACTACATTTAGCATATTTTTGTCAGCATGTGTACAGATCAGGTTAGAGCCATTTCCTCACAGCTCAATTAATTTGTGTATGTGATTTCTCTGTGTGTGTAATTACAGATAAATATTCATGTACATATTATAACTACTATATTGCTACAATATTAAGAAATTTATATAATTAATTATAGAGAATCACAGAGATTAATTATAGAGATTCACAGAATATTCTGAGTTGGAAGGGACTCACAAGGATCATCAAGTCCAACTCTTAAGTAAATGGCCCATACAGAGCTCAAACCTACAACCCTGCACTAACCAACTGGGCTAACCTCAGAGTGGTAATTATGAATATATATATATATATATATATATATATTCATATGTATATATATATATACACACACATATATATACATACACACTATATATTTATATATATTTATATATATGTATAAATAGTTTTATATATTTATATATTAAAGAGAATTCTATCATTAGGTAGATTTCCTACCAGAATTACTGCAGAGGTTTCAGTGTGATAGAAGCACATAAGCACAAGTAACCTCATAAAATCTCACAGCATGCAGTTAAGATATTTTGGTATTCCCTGCCTGCACATGCACAGTTAGGTGCATGTGACTAAATAAACATCTGAATTGGCTTTTTCCAGGAAGATTTTTGCAGGTCAAGATCTTGGCATGCTGGGATGTGAACATGAACAAAAGCCCAACACAATATTGCAAAGAATATGGTTCCTTCAACATGGCTTTTCTTTTTTTTCCTAAAATTTGTGAAAATCAGGAAAACTTAATTCCATATTGTTGATTTTGAACATGAAAATAAAGATATTTGGATATGATATAGCAATCTCAAAACATGTTTTGAGCAAGATACTGGTGGTTCATAAAGTTGTAATAAGAGAGGCACAGTCAATTACATCTGAATTACGGTAACAAGTACTTTAAAAAGTGATACAGTCATACATGTTAAGATATGTCTTATTCTGTGTGAGATACTGTAGCTGGTGCTTTTTGTGGCTTTTTTGGAAGAAGTGGGGTTTCTGTAAAGTACATTTTGTCCTGTCACCCTGTCCAAAATGGATGTCTGAACCTGTCTGTTCAGCTGGCCCATGGTTGCAGTAGTGTGCCAACTGCTGTAGCACAGCGAGGTTTCAGACAGTGGGAGAGGGATAAGCCTCTGTCATGGACAAGCAATATTGCCCAGCTCCAGATGCCCTGAAAACCACAGTGTGCAGTTGCCTGAAAGGATGACCCACTTAGGCTGTGGAGACTGAGATGCCAGCTTCTGCTTGCTTTCACTTGAAAGCTTAAGACTTACTTTGACAGGGTAAAGAAATGTATCCGTCAGCCTTTTGCATGAGATCTCAGTCTTGAGCAGAAAGAGGGTGGAAAGGCAAACACTTCTAATTTACTGGACCATAGGTACTTTTTTCTGTCTGCATGAAAAACTAGATATTTAAAATTGTAGTGTAAGTGCAGCACAACAGTGGAAACACCTCATTTACAGATGTATTGCTTAAATATTTACAAAATACGCAGTCTAAGTCCATCGGTTCTGAGCATCTATGTAAATAGAGAACTTACTCACCCTGGAAATATTTAATGAGTTTATTATTTTATTTTTTTTTAATACATAACTTATTTTCTCAACATCTACAAACTGTCTCACACTTGTAAGTTGGGAAGATGTCACAAGAAAACAGGGTTTTCTGTTCTTATTTAAAACAAACAAACAAACACACAAACACCAAAACTAAAATCAAACTGCTTTCCTTTAGGGGTATATGAATTTTTGGAGTTGTTTATAATGACAAGAAATATAATCTGTGTATAAGACATAAGGGTCCTAGACTGCATATAATAATATGCAATGTTTTTATTTTTCAGCGTCATTAACTGTTTTCTATGAATGGAAAATGTTTGAGAACCTGTCAATGAGCATAGCACAGACAGGGTCAAAATGGCAAGCTGTCTTTTCTGGATGTTCAGATGGGCACAGCCCTGTGTGCTCAAAGTTACAAAAGCAGAGGTAGTCCCACAGAGTTTCTCTGGAGATCTAAAGTCATTCAGACACACACTTCATTTCACTTGAGTTAGTCTGACAGCTCAGCTTAAGAATCTCTGTTTGATGGGTCTAAACTTTGTGCATATGACTGAAACCATAAACATCAAAGCACAAGCACAAGTAACAGCTCCTCATCTGCTGTCAGTTTGCACCAGACAAGGGTGGCCATACTCTGCCTCCCCTTTTTCTCCATACAAGGGGGGTGGTGAAGTATGATGGGGTAGTCGGGGGACTCAGTGCTGCAGGCTGCTACCTGGTGACATTTCCAAAGTCTCTTCTTCATTGTGATTTGTTTGGAATTTGAGGTGTCCATTAAATGTATCTGCCAAAGGATAATTAAAAAAAAAAAAAAATATAGAAAGGGATGTGAAGAAGGAAACATATAACAAGCTGGTAATTAGAAATGGACTTGTCAACCTCATCTGGTTTCAAAGTCTGTATTGGAAATGAGTATTGCAGAAAGGAAAAAACACACATGTTTAAATCCCAAATTTTGCTTACTTTCTTGACAAATTTTATTTTGGTTTAGGTGTTTTTTAGCTGTTTTGGATCATCTCCTATGTCAGAAACACATATCTTTTCTGGATTATTTTGGTTTTACTGGTATATTCCTTGAGGAATATAGAAAAGGTAGAGGTAAATTTCAGCAGAAAACAAAAGAGATAATTTGAAGGAAGTTATTCAACTCTAGATTGAAATACAGTATGAATAAGGGGAACAAAAAATAATTCATGTTCCTAGTGGTTTTGTCAGAAAAGCCCTTCACTGCACTAACATGGGTTTCTTTGGGGCAGATGCTTGCAATGCTCCACAACCCCACACTGGTTTTGCAACAATCATTTGGCAGTTGCCTAAACGTACTTTACTCACAGTTTAATAATTGTCTGAAATTTTGCTGGCACATACCTAGATAAATTTTGTCAAGTGATGCTGGTGATGCTGCTATGGAGGCAAAAGCCCACAGCAAAACTTAGAGGTTAACAAAGTACTGGTTTTGTCTTTGTCATTGACTCTATTTGGGAGGTGCAGAAACATAGCATTGGTGGCATGAACTGCCAGCAGCCCAAAGTACTTGCAGATGGCAAAAGGCTTTCCAAGTTGTACAGTCTTAGCAGACAGGACCAGTCCACAAGTAATAAATCCTTCTGAGTCCTGAAAAAGTTTTCTAAAGGTTTACATGAGGATGGACATGGACAGTTTTTGAAATACAGTTTCAGAGAACATTTGTCCTGAATAAAAGAGACAGTTATTTTTTCTTGCAAAATGTATTCCTGTGCGGTTGTAATAACGTTTTTATACTGAGATGATTGACCCTTTCTACAGCACTAGGGATATGGCAGAAGTGGTAATCAGACAGTCACAAGTTGCTTTTAAAGCCAATTCAGAAATAATGAGGCAATTTGAGTAAAAGAGATCTTCTTGTACTGAAGTATAAGTCTATATTTAACTCTTCATGGATTTAGTGATCTTGATAGAAAGAATCTGTTGCAAAATCTTAAAACAAGTTTTTCTAACAATTTAAAAGTCCACAAGGTGCAACTCAACAGTGAATTTTATAATATTTATAATTATTTTATTCATTATTTTCTTTTTATTCATTTTTTTGAAGACAAGCAACACGAAGTTGAAATCCCGTCTCCAACACAGAAAGAGAAAGAGAAAAAGAAGAGGCCAATGTCCCAGATCAGTGGAGTCAAAAAACTCATGCACAGCTCCAGCCTAACTAATTCCAGTATTCCCAGGTTTGGAGTTAAAACAGACCAAGAAGACGTCCTTGCCAAGGTAGAATATATATATATATATCTCCTTGAATTTATATAAACAGAGTGTGGACTTTTCAGAATTATTCCATCCTCTGCTTAAGCACATAGATTTCAAGCCGCAGCAGCAAGCATTGTTATCACTTGAAATAATCCAAATTCGTTGGAGTGGAAGAATAGCAAGTTAAATCCGAATCAGATCATAAGGGTTAATTTCAGCAAGAAGACAATTTCATCTAGAGACAGAATGTAAATTAGCGTTTGTGTATTCATTAAGAAAGCTGCCTATTCATAAACAGTATCTGAAAATTGAGGAGTAAAAGTATTACATAATGTCACAGGAATTAAAATGTATAGATAGCTACCTTATTTTTTAAAAATGCACAAAGGTACATTGTATTAGAGCAACCCATCCTATTTTTAGCTGTATCATTTTATGTACATCCTTTCTATTATTTTTTAATGAAATTTCTTATTATTTTCTGCACCAGCAGCTAACTACTTGGTAAAAACAGAAAATTGGTATAAAGGGAATTTTGGCTGAGTTTTGCATTTTAAAATATGCCTATCCTAACATTTTCAGGAATCTTATTTGAAGAGTGTTTCTGAGAACCAGGGAGAGAGCAGCAGAATCACAGCATCTCTGGAGGTTTTCCCCTCCCTGAACTTCATTGTCAACAGACAGTGAGATAGCAAAGTGTTTCAGTTAAACTCATTTGAGATACTGTAGAATTTTTCCCTGTGGAGCAATCCACTTAAGAGACAGTCTTTCCTGCTTAGACGAGTAAAATCTGAAGAATGGGTAGATGTAAATTCCAATATTGCAAGATTAGTAGCAGGTGCGGATTTTAGAGTTCAGCCCTTGCAAAGTTTAGCATTTAACTTGCACAATGCCCAGGTTTGAATGAGTCCTCTATAATTGCTTCTCTCAAAAATTACAGGATTTTTTGTGTTAGGTTTCAATCTGTTCATTGCTTGATTCTCTTCTAGGAACTTGAAGATTTGAACAAGTGGGGCCTTCAGGTCTTCAGAGTAGCAGAGTTATCTGGAAACAGACCTCTGACTGTCATCATGCACACTATTTTTCAGGCAAGTAGGAGCAGTCATGCTGCTCTTTTTCTTGTCTTGGAGACTGTTCTGTGCTTTGAAATCTAATTGGTTTTCCTTTACTTTTACAGGAGCGGGACTTGTTAAAAACTTTTAAGATTCCAGTAGATACTTTAATAACTTACTTGATGACCCTGGAAGACCATTACCATGCAGATGTGGCATACCACAATAACATACATGCTGCAGATGTTGTTCAATCTACCCATGTCCTACTATCAACCCCAGCATTAGAGGTAAACTACATTGAAGAAAAGAAGGGGCAGTTGTGAGAGAAGAGGATGCACTGAGAGTCTTCTGAACTAAATATTAAAGATCTTAGTTTCTGCCATGTTTATAAAATAAATCTTAACATTTCTTTAATGAATTCTGTTCTTTTAAAGATATTTTGTGGGGATCACAGTTACATGTAAATATTGTGCAGAAAATATCACATCTTTTCATTTTATATCATGCAGGTTTTTGCTGTCATAACCCTTTTCACCATAACACAATGCATATCTTGTTTCCACCATCTTATTATTTATACATCCTAAGAAATGGGATTTCTTAGGAAAGTTTATTCTGATCCAGAAAGGCTACTTTTGTATTTATTTCTAAGACAGATTGGAACATCTACTAAATTTTCACTGGACTATCTCTTTTTTTTACCCTCCCTCCGACCACCCTCTCACCCCATAAATATTTCAAAATTGGAAAAAAAATAATCTGTTCTTCCTGTAGCAATTACCTTCTTGAAAGTTCTTAAATATCTGAAGTAAAAGGATGTGAAATTTGGAGATTTTCCCTCTTGTAAGCACAGTTCAGGTCTTAACATAGCAAACAATGATATATCCCAGCAAATGGTTAGAAAAAAAAGCAGTAGAAATTGTATTAGTTCAAAAGGATTTACCTTCATTTTCAAAAAGGGCTGCATTTTGACTCTTTCCTTTAATGGTCAATATTTCATGTTACTGAATATACCTGTTCTACCTTCTTCTTAAAAAGAGTGGACTTTGAGACTGCTGGAAAGTTTGTATTCTCAAAGAGTTGAAAATCTCTTGAGAAAAATTTTCTTGCTCTCAAGAAGAAAGATCAGATAATGTCCTTAAAACACCATTGGCTTCACCACACAGCTAAACTAGTCATCAGTAAAATTTTGGGGTTTTTTTATAGATCAGTTTGGTTTTTTTCCATGGCCTTCTTATCAGCAGAGCTTTAGCCAGTGAAATGGCAATGTCTGCTCAGTGCCACTGCCGGTCTGTGCACTTCTGAGCCATTCTTGATCAGTTTTGAAAGCATTTGCATCTTGTGGGTGCTTCTGACAACAGGGCACTGGGCTCAGTGACATTCCAAGTCCATTGCAGTCCTCTTTTCCTTTCTTCCAAATAATCTCATACAAGTGGAAAATCAGTAAATGCTAAGGGAGATTTGTGTAGTCTGTCACTATTTCCTTTAGCATTATGTAGGAGATTTGCATCTTTCGAGTACAGGACAACACACAGGAGCCAAGGTGAAATATTTAACTTTATCTTGTGCTATAAGTTAGAAACCTGTACTTAATTGTCTAATAAAGGTGGATTTATTTACAGACTGAAGCTGAAAATACTTCAGCAGTGACAGAATTTAGTGATGCTCTCTGTATGAAGTGCAAATTGGTTTATTTTGGCCAAACTTGAAATGTTTGAAATTCTTATGAATTTCTATTTTCTTATGAAATTCTACAAAATTATTTCACAAAGGGTTTGATAGCTTGTGTGTAAAGTCGCTAGAGATCATGGTACATTTCAAATGTGTTTTGTTTGTTCACATCCAGATTCAAAGTAGAGTCCTTTTTATTGAAAATAGTTTTTCACTGGTTGGTGATTGTCATTTCTGTTTCATTATATTCTAGGCGGTATTCACTGATTTGGAGATTCTTGCAGCAATTTTTGCCAGTGCAATACATGATGTAGATCATCCTGGGGTTTCAAACCAGTTTCTTATCAACACAAGTAAGTTTGATGTTTAGTGGTTTTCTCAAAAATTTGTTGTGAGGTCTGCACATAGAAACTGAAAAATACACAGTTCATTCCTTGCTTGCTTCTAGTTCTAACTTTTCTCAATAAATACATACATGTTTATATTTAAAACCTGATATTACTTTGCAGTTTTTGTAACCTTAGAAATAACTTACATAGTACACTCTAGCAAGAATTACTAAGGTATGAACTATAAACTTGGCATTGTTTCAATGTATTGCATGTTGTCTCTCCTGGAAATACAGTTGATTTACATTAAATAGATAAAGTTTTAGGAAGACAATGAAGGAAGATTCAAAAAAACTGAACAAACAACAAGACAAGAGTTTATGTGTTTATACTGGAAATGTATGACATGACCAAGGATAGAAATTCAGAAAGCAGAAAAGCAAGTTTCTTTTTAGCAAACACAGTCAGGACAATCTCTTCCCGGATCCTGTACTTGGCTTTTGATCTCTCATGCCTTGTAGACTGAATTTCCTCTCCATGTTTCTGAAGCTATGATAAACCTGTTCATTTTTTTCTGACCTCAATGTCATCTCCAAATTTGAAACCCAGTGTACTTCTGCATTCCTCAAGGCTGTTGTCTGCAAAATTGCTGAACCTCTATCCACTCCTTATTCATCTACTGAAAGAAAAACACTGTTAACTTTATTGAACCTGATCATGACATATTTACTCAATGGTTTGTTGTCCCAGTGGCAACCTGCTTGGGTTTTGTTGACTTATGGCGCTATTATAAGTGGATAGCACTTTGTAGGTCAGTACAAGTTCCATCATACTGTGTTATTTCTTCTGCTCTCTGACAACTTCTCCTTTTATGGTAAGTGACCCAGAAGTACAGGGTTTAAATAATACTAATATTCCAAGCAGAGAAGAAGAAAAAGCAACAGAAATGGAAGCATACCCAGTGCTGTGTATTTGACCCATCTGGTTGCACATTTATAGATACTGTCACTTCTGCATATGGGTGAATCTATTTCACAATGTTAAAATAGAATGACCTCAAATCAGCAGTAGAATTTGAAGAAGGAAGCTCCTCCTCTGACTCATTGCTGCTGTATATTCAAATAAGACATGCACTTCAGTTTAGCCTGCACTTTGTTTTGTTTGTCTCAATGGCCTAAGGGCCACCCTATAATAAAATTGAATTTGATGACTCATCCACATGGAAGAGGATTAAGATTGACTGGATTTTTTGTGCCTTACTGGGGACCAGTACAATTCAGCAGTGCAATACAGGTAGAGAGTGAATCAAACTTTGTGCAAAAAAATGTTGATAATACCTGAATTCTTAAGAGTGGGCATATGTAAGTAAAGCCTTTTTTTTGCTTGTTAAGTCAGAAATTGAGTACCAGTTTATATTGATGGCTCCAAGGTTCTATGAGGAAATCAATGTATTGTTCAGGTTTAAGAGGGTTGACTTAGTTGAAGGGACAAGTAGTGGTGCATAAAGCTTTTACTTCTAGTTAGATAGATTGAAATTCAGCTAATGTAGGAGTCATACTCATGCTCATAATTACCAGCTCAGGAAATATATCGTGTTTTTCTCCATTCAGCTTTTGATAAAGGAGGCTTATGTGCCAGTCAAGTAACAACACTAATTGAAACTGCTGTTGCAAGGCTGAAAGAAGCAAAGAGATTTTGTTTCTTTTAAATTGTTCTGTGTACAAGGAATAAACTGCAGGGACAGAGACAGAAAAAGAGAATTCAATGTGTGTTTCTCAAATCAGAAATTCTCCTAATCTCTAGAATATAATTCACTTCCATCTAATTTTGTTTTTCCAGTGAACCAAACAATGTATTAAGATTTCACTAAATATATATTTCACAAAATATAAGAAATTTACATTTCACTAAATATAAGAATGCATTTTTTTAAAAAAAATATTGACTTAGTTACTTAAAGTATGTACATATTTGCCATATTTTCATCTTATTTTTTACAGTAAGTCTTGGGATTTTTCTATTCTATTCTTGTTTAAAGTCTATTGCAGAGTTGTCACCTAAACTGATCCCTCTTGCAGGCTATTAAAGAACAAACAAATATGAAGTGTTTTGGCATCAGAGGAGATGCTTATTTTACCACTGTAACTCTGTCCTTGCAGAAAAATATTCTTGAATCTTATAATATGTAACCCAGATTACCAAGGGGGAACTTTCTTCCATTTTTACATCCATTTTGAAGTTGAGTGAATTTTGGCTGTGTCTGTAGCTCCAGCTCTTCCGAAGTATTTTGGCAATGTGGAGTATTTTGCAGTTGCAGTGAATCAGAAGGCTGTTTGAAAGGAAAATAAACTAGTGCCTGTTTTCTGCATAGGAAAGACAAGTGTGCAAGCTTTGTATGTGTCCTGAGAAAGACGATAGAGAGATAATTTTACAAACTTGCATTCTTTCTACTTCTGTTGTTACCAAAGGTTTTGCTGCCTTTGGGAGAAGGAAAGGCAGAGGAAGGCTTTCCTGATTCAACAGATTGATTTATTCAAGACAGGAGAGGAAGACAGAAGGAGAATAGACAATGAGATTAATGAAACCTGAAGATCAAAGCTTTTAGAAGTCTCCCATTGAACCACAGGGATTTTAAAACATATCTGCTGTAAAAGAAGAAAAGAGGACAAAGAGTGGAATAGACTGATGTGTGTCTAGACTTAGGCTAGAACAACTGTAATAAACAGAAGTTAATATAGCACATGAAAAGTATGATTGCTTAAAATTATTTGAGTTTTCTTTGTGATAGATTTATTTACAAGTTGTATCTTAAAGCATATGCAAGCTGACTGTGCTGTGTTCCTGGGTTAAAGCTAAAGCTGTGCAGAAAGTTTTATACCTGCTTTGATTTTTCAGAGCTGTCTGTTCAGCAGGTCTAAGCTGACCTTACAGGTGAGCCTTAGCACAGGCATGGCTGGGAAAGCGTGTGTTTCTCTCGCAGCCATATGGGGTGACTGAGGTAAGGTTAATTCCATTGGTCAAGACAGCATTACACACAGCATCAGGGACTGACCACGCTCAAACACAAGGCAGCAGGCGAGGCCACTGCCTGCAGTTTCACACCATGTGACATTACATGAGAAAGACAGAAAGGTAGCTGTTACCATCCTACCAGCCCTCAGTTGTCATGGACTAATGACTGTACGCCTAGTTCACTAGGCATCTGAGCGTCTTAGATAACTGCAGAAGGACATGATTTGAAAACCAAGAAGCGTGTGCTCTGCAGCAGATCTGCAGAAAAGCCTCAGCAGAATATTCCCAGGTCAAAGTGCTGAAAAGATGGAAATTTTGAAACAATAGAATTTTAGGTGTTTTATAAATTTAGGATGGAGAGAAGCATGAAAAAGACACCGCATCGGAGTGTGATTTAGTTGAGGTGTGTTTATGCATATATTATGCATATAATATTTTCTAAGTTACCTCATGCAGATATAAAAAATTTATTCTGAAAATCACCTTTCTTATATTTTTTCGAACTTGCCACATGTGTACATGCATCACTGCAAAGCCTTTTCTTTGTTTTGCTCAACATACTTTGCTTTGACCTAGTAAGATATTCAGTCAATAATTCTGTAACTTTCAGGGCTGTTATTAAAAGTTTATCTGTAAATCTTGTTATGCATGTCATGAATTTGAAAAAGACCTTAAGGGATGTGGTAGAAGCATAGGCTTAAGTAACATTCTGCCCTGCAATTGTTATTGCAGATTCTGAACTCGCCTTGATGTACAATGACTCATCAGTACTGGAGAATCATCACTTAGCTGTGGGTTTCAAGCTGCTACAGGAAGAAAATTGTGACATTTTCCAAAATTTGACCAAAAAACAGAGACAATCATTGAGGAAAATGGTCATTGACATTGTGAGTTTTGAGACTCCTTCTTCCATAGAGCTAGTACATTGAATAATAAAGCACAGAAGCATTTTATGATAACATTTACATGTTATCCAGCCCGTAAACAATGAAGTGGAAGTTTGAAGTTTTGTCATGACTTACCCAAACATGAATAATGGATTCTTTTAAGATTCAATAACTTCCAATAACATTTCTAGAAAGTATAGAATTATTTCTCAAGCTGGTTTTGTACTGACATGTATGCCATTCTACCATCACAGTTAGAAATTTGCTAATGAATTAATAATGAATTTGAGCTAATCAGTCCATTCTGAACAATGCTGAACAATGTTTTTTTCATATTCTTAAAATAACTAATATGAGAATGTACTGTTATGAACCTACACGACTCATACCTGTATCATGTATTCAGACATAGAAGCTATGGATTCCTTCCAAAACTGTTGATTTATATGTTTAATTATTTTTCAAAGAAACTCCAGTAGTACCATTTGCATAGTGTTCATTTTTTGTTTGTTTTTTTCTAGGTACTTGCAACAGATATGTCTAAGCATATGAATCTACTGGCTGATTTAAAAACTATGGTTGAAACTAAAAAAGTGACCAGTTCTGGTGTCCTGCTTCTTGATAACTATTCAGACAGGATTCAGGTAAGGAAATGATTTCTGAAGATGATCACTTGTCATCCTCCAGCATGGATTTGAGCTGTCTCTTTCACACCATGATTCACTGCTTCCCTCTGTTTCCTCCCAGGTCTAAGTGACATGGTCTAAGTGACTCTCTGGGAGACTAACAAAGTGCTAGGATAGTTCAGGGCTAAATGAGGCTTTGGCCTTCCCTTCAAATTATCAAAATGTGATTCCTTTTCTCACAAGGATTTTGTGACCGTTAGAGTATCACAAGCCACATAGTTCCTGGCTCTTACTCCAAGTCTGAGAAGGACACAAGCACTTAAGTTTTGGCTGTTTGGAATAAATCTTACATTACATGTATTTTCAAGCTTTCGTTTTACAGTCACCAGAAATGTAAAGAAAAAAAAGAGCTGCTTTTCTTCAATGTAATAACACCACAGGTGTTCAATCTGTTCTAGGTTCTTCAGAACATGGTGCACTGTGCAGATCTGAGCAACCCTACCAAACCACTCCATCTCTACCGCCAGTGGACAGACAGAATAATGGAGGAATTTTTCCGTCAGGGAGACCGGGAGAGAGAGAGGGGAATGGAGATAAGCCCCATGTGTGATAAGCACAATGCATCTGTAGAAAAGTCACAGGTAACTGATTTGATAAGATAGTTAAATCTTTTAGAAGAAAAGGATGGTACATAGTTATGTTTGGAATGATTTCTGAATGAACTTTTTCCTTTTCTTCCCTTTGATTTGATTAATTCAGCTCCTCAGTAGTAAGTGAGGCAAATTGAGACTTTTACTATGAAAACAGAGTGCATGGCAGTATGTTTGCTGAAGGGATTCCATTACTATCCTGACCTGAAAAGCAGCATACATGCCAAAAGAGATTATTGTACATTGGGGTTTCCTTCAAAAACAGAATTAAATATAAAGCAGGCATGTGGCTCACTACATGCAGTGGAATTATTTGGAATGAGCTGTTCACTTGAAAACAAATCCCTTTCCATGCCTTTATCCAATATCCTGAATCAGACTTTTGAAAAGTAAGAGACCTTATCTATTATGTAAACTAGTATGGTTTCCTTTCAGCCACCTTTAAGGGTAATGTATCCTGTGTCCTTTCCTAGTGTTAAATTCCTCGTACTTCGCATGACTTGCTCATTTCTCTGTGAATAATCATATTCTTGTATTATTTGAAACAGGTGGGTTTTATAGATTACATTGTTCATCCTCTGTGGGAGACATGGGCAGATCTCGTTCATCCGGATGCCCAGGATATCTTAGATACACTGGAGGACAATCGAGAATGGTACCAGAGCACAATCCCTCGAAGTCCTTCTCCTGCACCTGAAGAAAAGGAAGTGGGAAAGCAGGGTCAAACGGAAAAATTCCAGTTTGAGCTAACACTGGAGGAAGATGGGGAGTCAGACACCGAAAAAGACAGTGGAAGTCAAGTGGAAGAAGACGCCAGCTTCAGTGACTCCAAGACTCTTTGTACCCAGGATTCAGAATCCACTGAAATTCCTCTAGATGAGCAAGTAGGGGAAGTGGAAGAGGAGGTTAACCAAGCAGCAGAGCCTTGTGTGGTAGAAGAACATTCTCCTGACACATAACAATGAAAACACAGTCTCTTTCTCTCTTGCTTTCTCTCTTTCTTTTCCTCTTCTCTGTTTTGTTTTGTTTTGTTTTGTTTTTTTGTTTGTTTGTTTTGTTTTGTTTTTTGTGGGGGGTAGAGCTGGGGAAATTTTACTTTCTTTTGGCTGGGTTTGTTTCTTTTTAAATGTAGGTAATGATTTCCAAAGTATATATCACATACTACAACAACGTGGTCAGAACTTGGTGTTATCTGCCAGGATGATTGTTGATCAAAACTGAAGTTGATGACTCAGTTTGGCACTCAGGAATATTGTAACCAGAATTTTCACCTCCGTGGTGTCAGAAAGCAGGGGGAGAGCATCTATAAATTATATTTTAATGAGGTCTCTATTTGGCAGATTCCACTAAATAAAGCAAATGCTTTCAGAGGAGTACCACCTGCCAAATGAATGTTGGTATGCTTTGATAGTTTTTGAATTCATTGTATTGTATTGTAAGATACTGGATAATGTTCATCTTTGGAGGAAACAGAAAGAAAAAACATTGAGGTTCCGACTGAAAAACAAATTCACAAAAATGTTGGGACACAAATGGGTTCTGTTATCAACATGAAGATAAGCTGTGAAAATTGCATAATTTTCTAATTTCTAATCTTCTGAGACATGACTGAAAAAAATGTGACCCAGTGGGTTGCACTAACCTCTCCATTTTGTATAATATGCGAGAGAGATCTTTTTTAGAGCTTACTTTTATTAAATATACCAAGGTATTATATTAAAAAAAAAACACTTTTATCTGCCACTGGTTATTTTTTTCCAAAGAGTAACTTACAAGTTTTCAGTACAAAATCTGTACTACACTGGATAATACTTCTAGGGGTTTTTTTCTTTAATTCTCTCTCATTTTTTTCCTTTTTTTTTCTTTTTTTTAATTTTTTTTTATTTTTTAATTTTTTTTGGCACCTTAGAATGTCATGGTAATATTGAGCTGTAAAGGTCTATTATTTTATATATTAGTGAGTTCCATGAATATTTTTTTGTGTTGCATAAAACTTTGTCAGTGTGATAGCTTTTATTGTTTATTTGTTTTTTTATCACAATTTTCCCAGATGTGCTAGTGGACTTATATAGTGATTTTGCCCTCATAGTGGCCTGATCCTGCCAACTCTGTCTTATTGAAAGAAGTGGTCCCAGTGATACCACCTGGGATCTCTAACACTAGGATTTACAGGACCAGAGCCTGTAAAAAGAGTAATGAATTGTCATCACTACAAAAGCACCTCTTTTGGTATTCTAACAAAATTTGTTCCTCTGAAACATGGTTTTTCAGACTGCTTTTGTCTGGGAGCTATAGACTGCTAAATCAGAACAGACTAATACAATGTATGAAATATTTGTTCTGGTACAAAAAAACGTTAGTGTAATATTTCCAGTTTATGACTCCCAGTAACTTTTAATCTGGGTAGCTATCTAGTTAAACTATTTGCTAATCTGAGAGGTGTACAACATAAAAATAATGATTAGTGTTATTTTTTCATGTCTTTGTTGCAAGAAGAGCCAGACCAGTCTTGTCTTTTTATATTATTATATAAATGAGCAGTGCATCATCGGAGTTGCAGTTTTCTCCACACTATTTCAATCTTAGATCTTTTCATCCTTTATCCAGTTTGTGCTAAGGGAATCCTACCTTTCAGTTTGATTGGTACTGAAAGCTTCCATAACTTGGAAAGCTAAAGGGAGGTAGGAGTTCATATTTGTCATTTTTCAGCTGTTTGGCCACATGGAAGAAGAGATTTTATTTTCTCCACTTTACTCTTCATTAGATTTGTAGTTTTGAGTGTAGAAGATGGGAAATAGTTGCCTAGCTAGCTCGGGAGGCTAGCAGACTCCCATGCTGTAAAATTTTGTCAAAATGACAAGGTAATTTCTTAATAAAAGGTGACAGCAGCAGCCATTATTTTCCCTTTGGATTTTTTTGTAGCAAATGTGCAGATATGAATGCAGGTACTTTTAAATTAACAGAGATCTGTAATAAAACCTGTTTTAAACCTGAAACTTATAATTGGCTAATCATTCAAATTTAAATAAAATTTGCATTCTTCTATATCCAGGTCATAATTTTTTTTACCATTAGACTCACAGGGCCTTAGCACAGAACATGCAGAAGGAGTAAAAGAATGAAGATAACTCATGGGGTTTTTTTATGTTTTGACTTTTTTTTTAATTCTTTTTTTTTTTTATCATTTCTTGCTGAACCTGATCCATCTAAAAGTCCTTTCAGCCCCCAAGAGTGCCTGGAACCTCAGTAGTGGAAAAGCAATATAAATTCCAGAATAATCAGTAGGACCTGGAAGGTTGTTTCTGCACTAGTTGAAAGTAAATAAACATAAAACCATATTGTGAGATATCCACCTGTACATGTGGACAATCAAATCATAGAAAATGATATCATTTCTTAGAGTTGGGGATATAATGCACTGTACAATCTTTTTTTTCCTCTTTTGCCAAAGTGTGTTTTAGCATTGTACACTGCTTTAAAACAATACAATTTACAAGTGGCTTTATGTGTTGTGAATATTTTTGCCATAAAAAAATGCAGTGAGTGGATATTGAGTGGGAGGAAAAAAGAAAAATCATCTTGTTTATAAAAGTACACTTTAGCTTGCAAGTTGCTGTACTCAGTAATGCTGTATTTAAATTCTTAAATTGTTTTGTGTCACTAAAAAAAGGATAGTGAAAGAATATAGATAGAACAAATAGCATTCAGAAGTTTAAAAACTTGAATGAAGTGGATTTTATAGAAAGCTTTGACAGTCCTTTTCAAATGCATTATTTATTTTTTTGTGCCATGCATTTTTCTCACCAAATGACCTTACCTGTAATACAGTCTTGTTTGTCTCTGTTTACAACCATGTATTTATTGTAATGTACATACTGTAATGTTAATTGTAAATTATCAGTTCTTATTATAACATCATCCTTGTCAGGGTGGTGTTGCTGTATCTGGAAACTCTTGGTGAGAGAATGACTATTGTGTATACATATTCCTTGTACATTTCTTCTCCTGTAATATATTCAGTGTCACCACAGAGCTCGTTTATGGAAGATTCAAGAAAAGTATAAAATACATAAAGATATATCGATTTAAAAAGCTGCAGGTCTTTGGTCCCAGGGCTGTGCCTTAACTTTAAACAATATTTTCTTGTTTAGCTGCATTTGAAAAGTAAGGTAGCCTTGGGGCTGGGGCTGGGCATTTATACCATATTTTTAGTTGCTAACCGATGGGGGATACTCTTACGAGCTAATATGTGTAATACTACAATAAATTTTCATTCTTGACCCTGCTGGAAGTTCAAGCTTTTGCAGACTTCTGGTAATGTAATTGTATTATCTCTGAATATCTTTTTACAGCCTGTAATTGGGGATTATTGCAGCCATTTTTTGTTCCTAAAAAAGATAAATAATTGATGCTGCATTTCAGTGCTGAAATGCACTGAAACAGCTTTGGAAAGCATCTCTAATAAACATTTGATTTTAATGCATATTGTGAAATGGAATGATCAGAATTAAGAGGGTGTAACTCATACACTTTTACAATTGTCTGTAATGTCTCTTCTTTAGTAGCACAAATGATCACTGTATAAGCAGAATCCATAGTAGGATATACAACTTCAGTCTTGGAAATGCTTTCCAATATTAGTGTTACAAGTAGCCAAAGTTTATTTTATATAGGTGTAGCTAAAGCTTTGTGCAGGTGTGTGTAGCATAGTGCACTAGCTCTACAGAAGAGCAGTAAACTGTTAGATGTTTTAATAACACTTCTATTAGGTTTGCAGGTTGGACTGAGCAGCTCTTGCTGTTTGACTTGTCACATTACTCCAAATAACTCAGAGCTGGTATCACTGAATTTGCCAGAGTGAGGTAAATACCTCTTCTGCCTTTCAGTGATGCATAGCCCCTGTAACTTGCGACTTATTAGTGAAAGGAGAGATTCTTTTCCAAGAAAAAAATGGAATCTCGTTTTTGACACAAACTGTAGATTTTAGCAGCCCTGGCCCAAAGGAATTCGAATGCTCTTGTTTTATATGGTCTAAAAGGGACACTAAAACAACAGAAATCCTGAACAATTTCTTGTTACTGTTTTAATTCGGTATTTTCTTTGGGGATGTCTTGAGAGTGGCAACTTGTGTGAACATTGCACATGGCTATTCTTTCACTGGTTTCTTAGCCTCTCTTACAGCCTATGGGTTAGTACTGTACATCAATACCTTCATATGAGATTTTATATGCAATGGAAATAAAAGCATGTGTTGATTCTGCCTAGTTACTGTATTTTATTTTTTTTTTTGAATGTTAACGTTTTTTACATGCATCCCATCGTTTTGAAAGCTTAAGAGAAAACACATTTCCAGAATAATTTGATTACTGTATTTTGTCAGAATAGTGTTTCTCATGGATAATAAAAAATAAATGTGAGCCAGAAAAGTCAATAAAATATGGTGTTTCTTAAGGAACCTGATCCACAAACTTGTGATGTGTAGTTATAATGGAAAGGCATGCAATCTTGGTTTTCAGGAAATTATGCCACTGGATTGAATGGCTTTAAAGAAACTAGATGTCTAAGATTGTCCAAAAAAGCAATATGCTGGGATACCACAAAGAAACATAACCAAACCAAACCAAACCGAAAAAAGTGTACCACAGTTAAACATTGCCACAATCTCTGTTCCAAATGGATGATAAAAAAAAAAATTCTCTTAAAAATAAAATTCATAAACTATAGTGTTTCTTTGAGAAAGAAATATGGTCTTAGCATGAGTCTAAATCTTAAAGTGGATTCCAGGCACCTTTTAGGTGCCTGGGTTTGCGATCAGTGTGAGGTTTTGTGGGACTCTGCTTAAATGAAAATAGTTCCTGGTTGAATGAAAAACAAAAAAAAGTCTATGTTAATTTTTTTCATTAAGTCTCTTAGATCCTTCTTTGGGTTTAGGGGTTAGTTTGCAAGGAGACTGAATTCTTAGGGCTCCATTTTATTTGCACCTTTGTGTCAGAAAATGCTGATTAGTGGTGTGTGTGAAAGATGAAGGATACTACA